GTATATTTTAGTAACAAAACCACGGGATAACTATATATACCCGGTATATTTTAGTAACAAAACCACCGGATAACTATATATACCCTGTACATTTTAGGAACAAAACCACTGGATAACTATATATACCCGGTACATTTTAGTAACAATAGTGTATTGGTACATGTCACAATCTGCTTTACAATGTATACTGACACGCAAATGAAACGCACCCTCCAATTTCGGTAATATTTTCATTATTTCATTCAAAAGTTTCATGTAAGTAACATAGCCAATTAAAGATACACACATATGCTATTGGATAATTCAGTTAATTTAGCGCTAGCGATAATCACTTTGACAAGACCGACTGAAGAGGGGTTGTCCATTTGAATTTTCCAACTTCAAGTATGACTCCAGTTAGCATTTGTTGCTGCTCGAATTCTGCGATGCATAAAGTTGATAAGATGGTTCATTTGTGGCATAGGGATGTTCCGCCACTCTTCCAGAAGCGCATGGCACAGAGCGGGTAGAGTCTCTGGTTTCGACATTGTTATGGCGAAGACAGTCCATTGCGCGTCTTGTCACATGTCAATACGTCTTGTTGAAAGATTACGTTTTGCTGGCGGACAAGTAGCACGGCGACAGGTTGTAGAATAACGTCAATGTACCGCTGAGCTGTCAAGTTGATCTCAATGACGACTAAGGGGGTTTTGCGGCCACTACAGATCCCACCCCACACTATAACGCTGTCACCACCACACCTGTCGCGTTCCACCATGCAGTTATCGGCATTATGTTCACCACGACGTCGACAAACACACTGACACCTATCTGAGCGGTAAAGTGTGAATCGTGACCAGTCGGAAAAGAGTACACGGCGCCATCGTTGAACGGTGTTGCGGGAGCCATTGGAGTCTGACGTCACGTCGATGACGGTTAAGGGGCATTCCCACTGCAACGCGACGCAGCTTACTGCCGTGGGAACGGAGACGCCTCAGCACAGTACCTCGACTTATTCTAAAATAGAGTTTCCCTGGTGGCTCATTTGCAGTATTTTGTACAGTTCGAAACGGTTGCGCAAGTGCTCTAACCGACGAGGCGTAGTAACCTTGGGCCAGCCAGTTCGAGGGCGGTCGGCAGTTGTACCAGTAAGTCTAAGACGGCTGTAAAAACGACATTTTGTGCTTTTTAGGGGGCTTCTAGCCAATAGTAACTGCTGCCCTGTTGCGTGTATCGTTATTAAGTCTTGGCATTTTGACGTAATCATAGACGAATTTCTTTTACCTAACAATCTTATCCGATACCTGAAGAATGACAGAGGTGAATTTGTATGATTCCATGCTATTCAACACAGCTAAAAATAGTTTATTACATGTAATATTATAAAATGATGGATATCTAAGGGGGGTTCTTTTGCGTGTCAGAGTAAAATTCAGCCGTGTCAAATTACCTCATAACATTACAGCTTAGTATCTTTCAAAACTGAAACTACAAAAAAAAAAAAAATGTGTAACATTATACCAAAATACCAATTCTCGACGTTGTCAGTAGGGTAGATACGTTTTGGGCTGTTTGGCCGATTGTGGGCACTCACGCCTTCCGCGTAGACGGCCGGGGTTCGATCCCCGAAGTCGTCATAAGCATGGAATATTCGGAGAAAGCGTTTTTCTCCTGTCCTTATAACTCCAATAACCCAGCTGGAATATATAAAATGGTCTAGGGTGGTCTTTATCATATGTTGTATGCTGATTTATTTATTCATCAGCCAATCAATTCTAGGTGCATATCGCTTGGTTTTGACAAATACATGTAAGGTTACCACTTGTCTGTTATTAACTTCCAAAATTCCTTTACACTTTAAAATAAATCAATACGAGAGACAGACAGACAGACAGAGGCAGAAATAGACCACAGACAGATTATACTTGCTTTTCTATTTGGATATTTCCAGTAATGTAAAGTGCCTCAAGGGTCAGGATTCGTTAAAAAGATATGACATGAGCGTTATTTTTAATAACTGGATTTGTATAGCGCTTGTTCCCAGAACAATGCACACGGTGCACTACCGCATTCCAGACGCTCTTACAGCCGTCAACAACGAACAAATTGTTGGTATCAAGGAAGTGTTGAATAGGATTATAACAGAGGACAACGGGCACAAAGCGAAAGATAGCATGATTAATATACATCTATTACCGTGACATACGACCGCATTGCCTTGCTGATGAATGCCATAATGTCTGGTTTGTGTATTAATAGAAAAGGACGAATTCAAATAATGAACCTTCCGACAGACCGGCTTATGGTTTGTTTGGTTTGTTTGTGTTTTACGTCCTATTAAAAGCTATGGTCATGTAAGGAAAACCGGAGTACACGGTGAAAAACCAGCGACCTACAGCTAGTACTTGGCAACTGCCCCACGTAGGCCTCGAACTCGAGACCCAGTGGTGGAGGGCTAGTGGAAGCAGAATGTCAGTCGCTTTAATAACTTGGCCACAGCGGCCCCAAAATGGCTGATGATATATGCCAAAACATACATAGGTTCCTTCATGATCTCGTAATTAATTTTCTGGATATAAGAGCAAAGTTTGCTGACATCACAATACTTTACAAGTCGAATTTTATTATGTCACTTTTTCTATATAACTTCCTCGAAAGGTCACGTCTCGAGAAAACATCATGTGTTTGAAACTGAGAAAAATGGCTGCCCCCTGATTGATGGGTTAAGTTATCAACGAGGTAGCCAGTCTCTGGAACCAATATAACGACATCCAGCGAGATAATTCTCCAATTCAATCCACTCCTAAAACTTATAGATAACTGGAGCCCGATGATATCCAAGCACCTTCCTTCCTGATAAATAACACGGATGAGATGGACCATTTTGTAAAAACAATTATATCCCATTAGGCGCCGGCTCAATCGTCGGACATCCGTGTAAGTGTTGGCAGGACAAATAAGGCTAGGTATCCGTCAAATTAAACTTTCAAGTGCTCATAAGTAAATGATGTATAAAATGTGAGAATTGAAGACTAAAACTGTCCAATTGATTTAGCTTTTTTTTAAGTTTCTTGGCTTCGTAAATTGCAGTTCTTCAGCATTACTGGCAGTACAACACTGTAACAATGCAATCAGTGTGTTAATTTACAAACTTACACTGTTTATTAGTCTTACTCTTAAAATCATGGAATTGGCTATACAGAAATAAAAACTCAACTCGTCAATAATTTCAGTTGGAGAGAAACATTCTTTACGAAATCGTTCCTATTTTGTTCTGTTTCATGTGTGTCAGTGTCTTTCATGTGTGAATTTTCGGATCCTATTGATAAAAGATGATACTTTGTGGGAATATATTATTTTAATAATCATATTCATCCACAACTTATTGTACCATTTCATCAATCACCAGTCATGAAATAATTAATATATCATGATATTTATATCTGTTGTCAATTTGTCAAGTTGTCGATTTTACAAAAAGCAAGGTAACACATATAGGATTATATAACGAATGCATTTTTTCATTACAAAATATTTAATTACATCAATCCGATTTATTGGGAATTGGTCAACATGCAAAGCATATACAAGTAACGAATGCGTGCTTTGATCAATATTTCTTTATTTCTCCATGAAATAAGAAACCATGGGAACATCGTTTCTATGTATCATCGCAAGTTATTACGAAATATGGGAAAAAACATGTTTTAAAACTTGGAAATTCAATACAAAAAGCCAAACAAAGAAGATATTACGGAAACTATCCATTTATTTCAATCATTCTGGATTAAGTCAGGGTAATGAAGGAGGAGGGAAACGAAAGTCCATTACTCAACTATTACCAATCGTATGTGAAAATTTATAGTAAAAGCGGGAAAACGCATAAAGATCCTTTATCATAGCCCCATTGAACGCGGACCATACAACCTTCAATTTAAATCTTACAGTAAGCGAGTATGAAATCCAGCATAACTCTTAAATGTGACGACTGAAAACTGATAAGATCTACTGAAAATCATCATATATCTCAACTTTAACCGAGAGGTGAAAACACCATTTTAGGTATATTTTGATATTTTTTTCCAGCATTAAAATATTATTAAATACGTTGTTAATATTACATTTCTCTGAAGCTTTTGATGTTTTTTCACAATTAAAAAAATCTTCAACTTTATCAGATCGCTCCTAAAGTGTTTCTCACTTTACACCGACACATGTATTCATACTTAACAAAATAAGGCATTTAATCCTGTTTTGAAACTGATAGCCATCATTTAAAATCCAGCAGACGTAAGTTTTTGTATAATATATTTAGAATAAATGGTGTTACGGTAAGTATTCTACGTGGTGTTTTTTTCATTGTTATACCAGTACACTACATTTATTGTCGATCCTCCGAGCCACCACATGCTATATTGGATCGAATTGATAGCGAGAAGCTAGTGAATGAATAACAAAATAACAAAAAGTATAATTAACAACAGTGTACAGGGAGGGATACCTGATGTAACACCATACGGAATGTCACTGGTTATTTTGGAAATTATCGCGCACACCCTCCATTCATTCTCCTCCTCCCAACAACCACCGACAACAACCCCTTCAGTTCTAAGCAATGAACACTTCCAGTTATTATATCAAGCGGCGGAAATAAAATAAAAAAAATAACCTTACAACAGGGACAGTATATACGTCCCTGCTTACAATTAAAAAATCAAGAACAAACGCGCAAGTGGAAGTGTAGTAGGTTCATACCAAACGAAACACGAATTTCTAAAATCAAAACAAAAATATTTAACGACAAATAACCGAAGCATAGCCATTGTCCCGAAGCAATAATATTTTATGCATGGTTTGCTATAGTAATGGGCTAGGTAGGGGATTCACAGAAATGTTTGTAAAAGAAATATACTGTGTAGTCATCACACGGACATTTAAGCTCTATAAGTTGAACCCGACAAACCTGATTGCGTAAACATTAAGCATTTTTATTTCGTCTGTGCACAACCAGGAAGTAACGATAAAAATAGGGCAGGGAAACCCGAGGTCAGTGAGAAGTAGTGAGCGCGCTGAGAACTTGCTAGGATAACAGGAAGAGATCCCCTCAATACACATCAGCATTGTCCAGTGTTGTGTTTGTACATTAAGGTGAAGAGCGGTCTTCGCACAAAGTCACCTTGGTCCAGACATCTGTGACAGGAACCAATGCCAACAAGACAGGTACGTATATATTGTAATCTTACCTTTGACGTTTACCTGTAGGTTAGATTTTACACGTTTATAACAAGACGGTATATATATATAAATATACAATTCATAAGTTATGTCATATGTGTGTGTGGGGGGGGGGGGGGGGGGGGTCGTCTGAAATTAAAATATATCTAAATACATATACAATGTGTGAGCAGCGTTATCTAGTTGTCCGTGTTTTCGTACTTTTATCATGCAAGCGAAACAGCTGAACTTGTATGCTTTGGGGACTGTATAGTACGTAAGTAAGTGTATTGCGCTGACAGCCTTCAATCCTTTAAGCATTAATATCTAACTTCAGAAATGAGTTCAGAATTAAAAACTGGTAAAGACTTAGAGTTTGTCGGTTAGTTTGTAAACTAAACACTCGGTAAAACAGAACTCAGTTTTACATTTTACAGCTGTCATGCTTGGATTTATTGATAGCATATATAATTTTAGTTGTTCCCACAGTCACTTCAGTACGCCGTACATTCAAAGTCTACCTGTTGTGTAATTGTGTGTAGCATACAACCATTGATTTTGTGAGTTTACACTAGACTGTGTTTTATTTTACAACACATCGTATTAAAAATCCGTTTTTAATCAACGTTAGCTTGTCGTGTTTACCTGGACGGGTTCAAGCTATTTTTGAACTGTACGTGTGTAAAGTGGTGACCATCTAGATCTATTGATAGTGTTTAGGGAGGCGTGATGACCTGGGTATACCAATGGAGATGACGTACACAACAATGTCTAAATATAGTATCTGTTCATTGTTTGTTAAACAATAATATATATGATTTGTCATTACTCACTGAAATCTTCATCCCGGGTGCATGACATTACATCTTTCCCCTTTAACTGTTATGAAGAAACGAAATACCGAAGTAGCAGACAGTGTGTCGTCTGTGTGTATGACAATAGCGTTATGTGGGCAATATACAATGACTCAATGTATCTGATATGAAACTCCGTCAACTTAGTGTCGGGTTATGTCTAAGTTGATCAGTGAATCTGACACGGCAATATTCCGGGATTGAAAAAGACGACCATCAGATAGAGGGTCGTTTCTATAAGGGGTCACTCTTTGACGGCATTTCCCAAGTTTGATGCATGACGCGGTCACGAGTTTTTGGAAGAGAAGGTTTGTCATTAACAGCGCTGTAAATTCGTATTTTTACAATTAACATATGCTTAAAGATGTAATGATTAAGATCTACATATGTATTAATAGTGTCCTTTATTAAACATAAATTACAGCTTATTTAAACTTCAGGAAAACATGTATAAATATTGCATCACTTAGGCTTCTTTTCTTTTATGTAAAGGGATTTGAAAGATGTCTGATATTTCTAAAACTTAACCGTTATAACCCACCGTTTCTTTATAACACAATTTGCATAAATAAATGTGATAAACTCTAATTTTTCGTCTCTTAAAACAAACATATGTTCTGGGTGTATGTTCCCAGATTGTTTTTTAAGTTTATTCTTTTCCTCTATGTTACTGCCATTCAAGTTAGTACAGTATTGATTAAATCACAAATATATTGTATGACAACACTTTAATTTCATAGAATGTTTCTTCAATTATTGCCCCATGTCATGTCAAACAGCCTTTATTAACAATAATGTAATTTTTTCTAAACGTTTATTCAGGTTTGCATGTAAAAATGTATTTATATAGCACTACCAGAAAACAATCAGGGACAAATGTTATATTATGACTGATGTTAAAATATTTCCGTTCACATAGCGGTATGTGAGAACCGAGGTAGTGTAAAAATATTCCGGCAAAACGAGGAGAGAAATAAAAAGGTAGAAATCAAATGCGAGAGAATGCTCGTTCGAAATGACGCAGTACACTTTAGCATCCACGTCACGAACTGTAAATAATAGTTCTCAGTTCTATATTTCCTCTTCATTGCAGGGTAAATGACTTGGAACGACAAGTACGATAAGTGTGAGAAGAGCGGAAAGGTCAAAATGGCGAAAAATGACATTTGTTTATTCTTTGATCACGACGATGGTCAAGAGTGGTGTAATTACTGGAAAAAAATGATGAGCTGCAGTCAGGTTAAATTGTCCATTGAGGTCTGTGATACATTGATATCAGCGCGTGAGTTCAAGGCCAAGGTCAGCAAGAGTAAACTTCTCGTCATTTTAACAACAAGTAACATGCTGCAATTCATTCAAGAGGACGACAGCCATTTTGGTTCTCTGAGTAAAAGAACTTGTGTAGCAAATATCCATTGCCATACATCGCAGGAGGACATGGGAGAGCTTTATAATGAACCATTTGTGAGCAGGTGGAAAATATTCGTCGCCTCAGATGACGGAGTTGCTAATCGGTCTATTGTTGGAGACCTGTTGGAACTGATAGAGAAACAAGCAAAGAAAAGAAGTACAAAAATGAGAAAATTCAAGATTATGCCTTGTCACGTCCGAGAGGTTCGTTTTCATTCTACATTTTGTAAACTAAATTGAACGGGGTTTTTTTTGTAACTAATTTGTATGTACGCATTTATCTGTTTTGGCCATGTGCTTCAAACGAGTACATTTATTGTTGCTGTAATCAGTGATACTCTACAACAATCTGGATATCTACCGTTTGTTGTAATCAGTGATACTCTACACCAATCTAGATATCTACCGTTTGTTGTAATCAGTGATACTCTACAACAATCTGGATATCTATCGTTTGTTTACAACAATTTGTATATCTACCGTTAACTGAAACTACAGAGTGTGTACAACAATCTGGATATCTATCGTTTGTTTACAACAATTTGTATATCTACCGTTTGTTGTAATCAGTGATACTCTACAACAATCTGGATATCTACCGGTTGTCGTAATCAGTGATACTCTACAACAATCTAGATATCTACCGTTTGTTGTAATCAGTGATACTCTACAACAATCTGTATACAATGAGAGTCACAAATCAGTATATATACTTTCCGACTGAGACATTGATTAGATGACCTTGAGTCATCGTGACCTGAGTGTACATCTGGACTAAAGCAGACGTTGTGTGATTTGATATAAAACACGTAGCTAACGTCTCACCCTTTACATATACGTTCCGTTTTATTATCACATTTATCACACTAGAGATTTAAACCAACTAAACAAACATGCATGGGTTTTTACCAACCCGAGTTTCCCGTTGGCTGTTTTATGGTTTAATTCAGCCGGTCCTTATCACCTTATACACCGTCATAAACAAAGAAGTGTAACTGGTAACATTTCCCGATTCATTTTGTATCGTGTTAACTATTTCCATATCTACCGACAAGATTATTTAATATGCTAATGAGAGTGATTGTACATACTACATGTATAGGTATATACTTCCTATTTAGTTATTTATAGCACATCAGTTGAAAAGGCATCTACAATAAGTTTGACATTCGGTATAGCGGGCTTTTTTCGAAGGATTCGTTTTTGACGTTTTGGGGTTCAAATATCTAGATCGCTGAAACATAAATCACTCCACATTATATACCTGCAAAATATATTACAAATGATTAATTGCGCTTTATCTAATTGACGTTAATATCGACAACAGGGAGACGAGAGGATATGTCGGACCGAGAACTACATAGTTTTTACTGTAAGAATTTGCGTTTCAACTTGTGATGCTTATTACTAATGTGTATATAAGTAATTTGTATATATGTGAAATTCGTTACAGCCTGCAGAATCCATCGCATTAATCTTTAAAAATGAGGTCACGGGCCGCGTGGAGGTATCCATTGGGGCAGACGAGACGAGACACATCGCCAAAATGATGAACCCATTTACTTTTGCCTTCAGGATACCCGATACATGTAAATATAAACAATATGATGGAAGTAAATAATGATTTATACCCGATACTTGTAAATATCAACAATATGATAGAAGTAAATAATGATTTATACCCGATACTCGTAAATATCAACAATATGATAGAATTAAATAATGATTTATACCCGATACTTGTAAATATCAACAATATGATAGAAGTAAATAATGATTTATACCCGATACTTGTAAATATAAACAATATGATAGAAGTAAATAATGATTGATACCCGATACTTGTAAATATAAACAATATAAGTAAATAATGATTTATACCCGATACTCGTAAATATCAACAATATGATAGAATTAAATAATGATTTATACCCGATACTTGTAAATATCAACAATATGATAGAACTAAATAATGATGTATACCCGATACTTGTAAATATAAACAATATGATAGCAGTAAATAATTATTTATACCCGATACTTAAAAATATACACAATATGATAGAGGTAAATAATGATTTATACCCAATACATGTAAATATAAACAATATGATAGAAGTAAATAATGATTTATACCCGATACATGTAAATATAAACATTATGATAGAAGTAAATAAGGATTTATTCCCGATACATGTAAATATACAACACTATCTTAGAAGTTAATAGTGGTTTATGGCCAATTGTTCATAACTCGATTATTTTAACAGGCTTATAAAGCAATAAGAAAAAGATAATAAAGGGCCTGTTTCCAAAACGGCCCCTTCTCTGATTCAAATTTCCTGTTGGTGGTGCATTGCCCATGCCGTTGTGGTCACAAATATATAAAGTATAAAGATTTAGGTCACTTGGTTTGTTTTTTATGGCTCCTCAAAGTTGTACCTTTCAGAAGCTGTCTAAGTGTTGATAAAATGTGCATGTTATGTAAAATATTAATGAAAATCTAATCAAATGATGGTCACCGTAAAGAATACATTCATGGCATGATTGTGACAAAAAATCATGTTTCCATCGCGCCATTTGGCTGTTTTATGGAAGAAACAATCTCAAAAATGCCATTTTCGATGATAACATTTTAGACACAAAAACTGTGTTTTTTAGAGAATACACCCTTTTATGGGCGTTGGATGCAAACCAATTTTTATCCTATTAAACAGTACGTAATATGCTATTGATGAGAGGAAAAATCATCAAAATGTAAGTGGTGGAACATTTTCAAATGTTGGGTTGAATTAGCCTATGGTTGAATTGCCGATTTTCGACTTTCTTTAGATAATTAACAAAAAAACGAGAGTATTTGCTCGGTATGTTGAGAATATGTACACAGATATGAAAAAAAGTGAGAGAAACACTTTTTCATAAAAAAAAT